GGAAGTCGGCAGAAATTCCTACTCGGCGGGAGGGGTGGGGGGCGGCCCGATGGGGCGGGAGAGGGTCCGGCCCATGCTGCGCCTGGGCTGGGATTGGTCCCGCCAGCGCAGGGTAGCAGGAAGCTCTCCACACACTGACCAGACCTGGGCTAGGACTGGGTCTGGGGGTTCCTGGAAGTCGGCATAAATTCCTACTCGGTGGGAGGGGTGGGGGGCGGCCCGAGGGGGCGGGAGAGGGTCCGGCCCACGCTGCGCCTGGGCTGGGACTTGTCCCACCGGCGCAAGGTAGCAGGAAGCTCTCCACACACTCACCGGACCTGGGCTAGGACTCGAGAGTAAAGATTTTGAGAATAGGTATTCATAATCTTCTCAATTTCTATAGGGCATGTAGTGATTTCACCCTTTTCATTCTTTATTGCATGTATTTGTATTTTTTCTTTTGATAAGGTTGGCTAGGGGTTTATCAATTTTATTTATTCTTTCAAAGAACCATCTCTGTGAGTCCTTAATTCTTTGTATTGTTTTCTTTGTCTCCATTGCATTTATTTCTGCTCTGATCTTTATTTATTTATTTTTTGTGCAGGCTCTCACTACGCAGCTCAGACTCATAGTGATCCTCCTGTTTTCAGTCTCCCTAGTCCTGGTATTACAGGCACGCACCACTACTTCCGGACTTCATCGCTGGCTCAGCGCACCTAGGAATGGGGCTTGCATAGCATGTGGTACCAGGGATCGAACCCTGGCCCCTTGCACTTACCTATGCAAACTCTTAGTCTGCTGAGCTGTCTCTCCAGCCCTTGCTCTGATCCTTATAATTTCCTGTCTCTTTGGTCTTTGGGCTTGACTTGCCCTTTTTTTTCTAGGAGTTTGAGGTGCAGCATAAGATTGTTTATCTGGGCTCATTATGTTTTCCTGTTGTGGGAATTTACCGCTATAAATTTCTCTCTTAAGACAGCTTTCAATGCATCCCACAGATTCTAGTAATTTGTATCTGCATTTTCAGTGTATTATAAATATTGTTTAATTTCTTCTTTAATATCATCTATGACCCACTGATTGTTCAGGAAGGTATTATTTAATTTCCATGTTTTTATCGACTTTTTACTGTTTCTTTCGTCAATAATTTCCAGTTTCATTGCACTATGTTCAGATAATAGGCATGGAATAATTTCATTTCCTTTGTATTTACTTAAGCATGTTGTATGTGCTATTATATGGTCTGTCTTGGAGAATGTCCCATGTGCAGCTGAGAAGAATGTGTATTCTGATGCTATTGGGTGGAACATTCTACTAAGTCTACAAAGCCCATTTCTTCACAAGTTTGGTTTAGTTCTGTTATTTCTTTGCTGATTTATTTTTGCCTAGTTGACCTATCTCTTTGTTACAATGGTGTGTTAAAGTCTCTAGTGCAATTGTGTTATTGCTCATTTGATTTTTCATGTCTGCTGAAATTTGTCTTATATAGGTACTCCTACATTGGGTGCACATATATATTTATAATTGTTATCTATCTCTTCCTTTTGCAGTTTTCCCCTGACAAGTATGTAGTAACCTTCTTTATCTCTTTTAATCACTCTTGGTTTGAAGTTGAAATTGTCAACAACAAAAAAAGCTACCCCTGATTTTTTCTGTGTTTCTGTCACATCGAGGATTGTTTTTCATCCTTTCACTTTCATTCTATTAATTTCTTTTTGAGTTAAATGTGTTTCCTGTATACAGAATATTGTTGGATTTTGTTTCTTGATCCACTCTGCCAATCTGCTGCTTTTGATTCGTGAGTTGAGGTCATTTACATCAATGGTTATAACTGATATGTATTGACTTATCTTTGTCATGTTATTTTCCTACTATAGGATCTCCTCTTTTCCCCTCTGTTTAACTGCTTACTCTGCTTGGTGGTGATTCCTTTCTATTGTTTTTGTCAAAGTTGTGATCATGTTTGTGTCTTTTAAAATACCTGTCAGTACACTTTGTAGGGTTGGTTTTGTGCTCTTGAATGTCTTCAGTTTTTCTTTCTTATGGAAGTATCTTATCTCTCCATTAAATTTGATAGATAGTTTTGAAGGATACATCAATCTGGGCTGGAAGTTGTATTTGAGGACCTGAAATATCTTTTTCCAAGCTCTTCTTGATTTGGTGACCTTTGTTGAGAAATTTGCCATGATTCTGATGGGCTTTCTATTATAGATAATCTGTTTCTTCTAATAGCTTTTAATATTCTGTTCTTTTGCTGAATTTCTGGGTTCTTGATTATTATGTGTCTCAGTGTAGATTTATTTTGATTATGGCTAGCTGGAATTCTGCATGCCTCACTAATCTGTATATCAGGTTCATTTCTCATGCTTGGTTTAATTTTCTGCTACCACTTCTGCAAATAGTTTTGTTTTTTTTTAATGTCGTTTGTGTTGACTCCAGCTATTTCATTGGTACCTATTAGACTTACATTATTTTTCTTCACATCATCTTACAGCTGTTTAATTGTCATTTCCTGGCTCCTTATCATTTTTAAGAAAACTTTCCTTTTGTGATCACTAGATGCAATTCTGTCTTCAAGGTCTGAAAATCTATCTTCAGTTTTGTTCAAGCAGTTTTGCTAGTTTTCAGTTGAATTCTGAATGTCCTGGATATTTGTTTGAATCTGTTTCATGCATTCTTTCCCGTATTGTTCATTTAATGTTTCCATCATTTTTTATTTCCCCTTTATTTTTGTATTTATGTCTTCTTTAAATGTACTGAGCAATTCTTTCATGATTGTTGTCATTTCTTTCTTACCTAAGAGATTATTTCTGATTTGATATCCTCCATAACATGGTAGAGTTGTTGCTTTACCCCAGTTGCTATCATTACAGAAATTTCAGGTGCATGACTTCCCATTTCTTATATGACTTTGTCTCCTGGACTTGTTCTGGGTGGGATGGAGGTCTGAGATTGCCTTTTGCTCTTTATTTTTGACATTTTTGAAGCTCAAATGTTCACCTTGACTCAGCAGTGATGGTATAGGTGCAGGGTGTGGATTAGCAAGGCTTCAATGAGAGTGGAAGCTTTGGAACCTCACCAAAGCTTCCATTCTGTGAGGTTCAGTTTGGCTTCCACCTTGGTGAAGAGGTGCAAGCCACAGCTCAAGAGGGATCTGATGATGATTGGCAGGCCAAGATTCTGTAAGGCTTTCTCAGTGGTGGTCATGGGGCACAGGGTAGGGCTCCTGCTACTGGTGGGACAATAAGCAGCACCTCAGCCGTGCTACTATGGTGACAATGATGGGAGAGGCAGTCACATCTCCACTGAGCTCTGACAATGGTGGGGAGAGGTGTGGGTCCCCACAGCTGTCCTCTGTGAACCTGGCTTCTATGATGGTGAGATAAGCAGCCACAGCTCACCCAAGCTCAGCAGTGAACATTCTTTAAATGTTGAGCATTCTTTTGCTTTTTTATGAGGTTGCAGCAAAAGGTCACTGATATTTCTTCAAAGAAATAGAAGTATATTAAAAATCACTGTGATCAATGCTTTTTTATACTAATTTAATAACTCTTGTGTCTTCTGTGTTAGATCAATTACTTGAGTAGATTAATTGTTTGTTTTCTGCATTAGGGCCATTCATTGAGTTTGAAGAGATAGACTTGCTTGAGTTCTGGGGTGACATGGATAATCAAAAACACATTTATGAAGACTTTGATAAAGTGCTCTTAAAGATGAATGCATTACTTTCCGAAAAACATAACAGAACCTCAAATAAATTATTAGAAGATCCAAAAGATCAGTCAAAATATGATGAACAGAAAATATCAACAGCACCACCACAAACACCCAAACAGCAGAAGGGAAAAACTGCAGATCTAGGATCACAAAGGATTTCAAATGAAGAACAAGACAGAGAGTTAAATGCTAAGAAAAACTTATACAGAGAAGCAGTGATAGGCCAGGGAAGCATCACAGAATCAACTGTAGAAGAAGCATCAAGTAGAGAAGTAATAGTTGAACAAAGATCACAAAAAGAGTCAACTTCAGAGCAAGAGACACGCAGAGCATCAACTGTAGAACAAAGATCACACAGAGGGTCAACTGCAGAGCAAGGTCCACGGAAACCAACCATTAAAGAACAAAGATCACCCAGAGGATCAACTGCAGAGCAAAGATCACGCAAAGAGTCATTGACGGAGGAAGGTTCACAGAGAGGATCAATTGCAGAGCAAGGGTCACGGAGACCAACCATTGTAGAACAAAGATCACCCAGAGGATCAACTGCAGAGCAAGGGTCACGCAGAGTGTCAGTGATGGAGCAAGAACCACAGAGAGGGTCAATTGCAGAGCAAGGGTCACAGAGACCAACCATTGTAGAACAAAGGTCACATAGAGGGTCAGCTGCAGAGCAAGGGTCACGCAGAGAGTCGATGATGGAGCAAGGATCACAGAGAGGGTCAATTGCAGAGCAAGGGTCACGGAGACCAACCATTGTAGACCAAAGGTCACACAGAGGGTCAACTGCAGAACAAGAGTCACATAAAGCATCAGCTACAGAACAACAATCACGCAGAGTGTCAATTGCAGAGCCAGCATCACACAGAGAGGTAATGATAGGACCACAGAAAGAGTCAGAACAAAGACTACATAGAAAGACAATATCAGAACAGGACAGAGACTCAACTTCACAATCAGCCAAAGGTAAGGTGGTTAGAGAAAAAACAATCTCTTGGGAGGCCACATTCTCTAAGTACTTTAAAATCTCTTCACAAAGAAAGTTTGGGGAACAAACGTAAGAGGAAAAATTATTCATGTGTTTTGAACTGCATTCAGTTCTCCTCTCCCTATTTTGTAGAGTAGTTTTTTAAGTATTTTCAGAAGATATTCATTAAAATTGTAGTCTTTTTGGCATAGCAGGTCATACAAGCTTCAGACATATTTTGATACTCAAAAATCAGGTTACACTTGACACTTCAATTAAATGCAAACTAAAATGTCTCTATCAGTTTATCTAGAAATTCATGTGTAGTAGAAAGCTATTAATAAGGGGGAAATCTAGCAATATTCAATGTACATGTGTTTTAACTGGGTTTTTGGAAAAGGATAGGGAGGGCTTTTGCTTTAAATGTGGTATCTGATATTAGAAAACACTTTTAAAATTTTCTTTTATTTCAGCTATGAAATGGGCTCTGTTTATTTTTTCTAGTTAGTTAAAGGATATATATAGTCTGGAAGAGTTTCTGAAAGTCATATATAAGACAGAAAGCATTGTGTTTAAAATATTTATTTATATCTCATTGGTCAGAATTTAGGTACATGTATAACGATACCTTATTGTGGGAGGGTGGGAAATGTATCCCCCGTTTTTCATGACCAAATTGGGGCACAACAGGGCAAAACAAGTTTTGCCACAGAGCTGCTCTCAACAGTTAACATTATTAAGTTATTTCATTGTGGTCACTTATAATAGAACACATATGGAGAAGTGCTTCATGTTTTTGATGTTCCATAGGTAAAGCATTTCTCTCATTGATAGAATACCTAATGGAACTTATAATATTTGATTTATAAGCATTTTATTTCATGCAGAAATGACAAAAAAGAATCTTCAGAAAGACAAATCCTGTGACCCCAAGTCCCCCAAAATAGAAGGAAAGTCATGGTCAGGTAATTCTTTATTTAATCTTCCTTTCATTTTATACCCTAGAACAGAAATATTGTGAAAACAAGGTTAAATCTGCTATAGTATAAAATGTGCTTTCCGTAGGTGAATTTTTGTCTTCTAACTGGAGGATGAAGTATGTCAAATTTGAAGATGAGGAACAAGCAAACTTAATCTATGGTAACTCCAGGTTCACAGGTAGATATTATCAAGAAAACTAGGAAGCATAGATGGGATTACAATAGATGGTTTTAACTTACCACAGTACCTCATGCTAAAACTGGATTTTGCTAAAACACAAAGAGATCCTTACATTATTTTGTCTCTGAGAGCTGATAAATCCAAATATACACATGGATACTTTTGATATTGGTATGCTATTGGTGATGACATGCACTATTAATGAATGTTCTTCTACTGTAAAACAGATAGCATTATTATACTTTTTTTTAGGTAGTGTCTACCTATATAACTTATTATTTAGCCCAGGCTGGCCTTGAACTCACAGTGATCCTTCTGGTTCAATCTCTTGAGAGCTAAGATTACAAGTGTAAGGCACCATGCCAGGTTTAGTATATTAAAAAAAAAATTACATGACCCAACAACTGCTTTGAAGGTATGAACCAAGCATAGAACAGAAATCAGATATTAGATATTAGAACTCAATAAAAATCACTCCAGATATTTCTCTTCCTAGTAGAGTAGGTTCATATCCCCAATGTGAGACAGCTGTGAATCTCTTGTTTTTGAAGACTTGTAAAGCAAGGTCTGTCTAACAGAAAAAGAGCAGAATTTAGCTTTCAGTTAAGCTATTTATTTAACTATAGTTGTTCTAAATTCTACTCATATTTTACTAAAATACTGTTTTATCATTTTCCTCTTCATATCAACAAGTAGTAAAACTAATTAGGTCAAAATTGTTTTCTTTATATTTCAATTTTTTTAGTTAAATCTGGGTCAAATAAACTTTTAGCATGCATGAGGACCTGTGTTTTTATCCCTAACATTACAAAAACAAACAAAATACCCAAATAACAAACTTCATATGTTTAAAATCTTCTGGTGAAAATTCAAGGACTGGCCAAATAGCTCAGTGGACTGAAGTGCTTGCAAGCAGGCGCGGGGGCTAGAGATTCAGTCCACTCGATCCCCGGGCCTGCCGTGCTGCCCCCACGCGTGGCACACTCTGAGAAGGCAATTGAGACTGGGCATGGGGCACATGCCTGTAATCCCAGCTCTTGGGAGGCTGTAAACAGGCAGATCACTACGAGTCTGATCTAGTAGTGAGACCCTGAACACCCTGTAGACCCTTCCCTAAAAAATACAAAAAAGAAAGAAAGAAAGAAAATTCATAGCATTCATTGCTCAAGCTCTGTGTTCAGGCTTCACTCTTCTTCTTTTCTTTTTCTTTTCTAACCTCTACAATATGGGAGAACCCAGGGCTTCATGCTGAAGAGCTACTGTTAATCTATATCCCTGGCCTTTTGTATTTTTTAATTTTCAGACAAGGTTTCACTGACTTGCCCAGGATGCCCTCAAGCTTGCAATTGTCCTCATCATCTTCCTGAGTAGCTAGGATTATAAGCATGTACCACTGTGCTGGGCTTGCCTTTCTAGCTTTTAAAAATTGCATGGGTAATCATTTTTAAATTATACCAGATCTCATGTAAAAGGCATAAAAGCATGAATGAGTGAATCAATGAGTAAATTGAATATAAGTAATTGCACTGACATTTTCAGAAATATGCTTCATGTTGTAACATAAAACTTCAAGATAAATACATTAAATAACACTCAGGAGGAATGGTGGATAATTCATCCAACTAGGAGTCTATAGAGTTTAGCTAGCTTCAGGCATAACAGGATTATATTAGTTCCATTTCTTGTTGCTGAGACAAAGAATGGTTTATTTCAGCTCATAGTCTGTAAAGGTTTCAGTCCAGAGTTGGCTGCTTTAAGGCAGAGCAACATGGCAGAAAAGTATTACAGAGGAGAAATAGTCCATGGCAAGACAAGCAGAAGGCAGCAAGCCGCAGCAGCAGCAAGCCTGTGCTCTGTCTTCCCTCTCTCCCTTTTTATTTTTTTTTAATTTTTATTTATTTATTTATTTTTTTACCAGGGATCAAACTCATAACCTTGTACTTGCCAGGTAGGCGCTTATGCTACTGAGCTGTCTCTCCAGTCCCCCCTTCCACTTAATATTGCATCCAGGGTGAGACTTTTACTATCCATACTCAGTCCAGAGTTGGCTGCTTTAAGGCAGAGCAACATGGCAGAAAAGTATTACAGAGGAGAAATAGTCCATGGCAAGACAAGCAGAAGGCAACAAGCCACAGCAGCAGCAAGCCTGTGCTCTGTCTTCCCTCTCTCCCTTTTTATTTTTTTATTTTTTTAATTTTTATTTATTTATTTATTTTTTTGTACCAGGGACTATGCTAATTCCAATCAGTGGACTAACTGTGTACCAAACACCTTAATCCCAGTATTACATGCCCAAGATCCATCCACCTCTGAAAAGCCTGGCCTATGAATGCATGTGGCTTTAAGGAACATCTGGACACTAGCCATAACAAGGATTCAGCAGTAGCAGAGTACTCTCTCTTCCTACAAGATCTCTTCTCGGTGTCACTTTAATTTTAGTCAGTTTTCTCCTTTTGTGGCCAAAAATGATCACAAGAGCATCTCTAAGCTTATATTCTACTAGTTTAGCAATTAATAATTCTCTCCTAATAGTTACCCCCAACATTCTGGAGCTAATATCCATTGTCTTATTATAGGTTACGTTGCTGTTATGCATGAATTATTAGCTAAATATGTATAAACACATCTATGGAGAAAGTATAAGGTGGGCTAGATATCACCTAACTCTCTGAAGTAACAACAGAGGAGAGGTGCTTCCCCAAAGCAAAAGATATTTGCTGCTGCCCTCATGATGGAAGCACATAGGCTTAGCCACTAGATCACCAGGGACTTGAATAAGAAAGCATATACTCCTGATAGACCAAAATATTAGATGTTGAGGCTGGTGGTCTAGTTCAGTAGTAACATACATGCATGTACAAGCCCAGAGTCCAATCCCTAGCACCAAAACAAAATACATCAAAACAGTAACAGATACCTATTACAATAATTACTCATTTATTTTATCTGAGATTAGAATTGTTCCCTTTACTTGCTATTTGTTTCCTGCTTCACAGAACTACACTCAATTATCAGAAGTATTCAGTCTTACAAGGAAGTAAAAGGTCGGAGTACTTTCAATGGAATTTCCCTCAATCTGATCCAGTTTGTGCAAGTCTTAGAGACATTTGTTGGTGAAGATGCTCCCCTGAGTGCCAGTGAGAACCTCACCTCTTTTTTTAAAAGGAACTATGTTGAAACAAAAGAAGAGAAAATGAATGCCTTAGAACAGGTGGGTAATACTTATCAGTGAAACAAGTTAGGTCATGAGGATATATCAGTCTCTTAACCTTGGTGGTTCCCAATGTGACTTTTATTTTAAAAATGTACAACCAAACTTATTACTTTATTTCAATAAGCACAACCTTAAATATCTTGTTTTATTGACAAATATTCAAAGGTCACAGTCCAGAGAACTCATTTCCCTAGTGATAACATGATTATTCCTGGCAGGAGGTGGTTTCTTCTGAAATTTAAGTCGATATGTGTATGTGCAAAGATGTATGTGTCTTACAAATTCAAATATACAGAGATATGATTATGACTAGATTATTTATATTTTTATTTATGCACTCCTAGATAGCACATATTTCCTGAGAATTTAATGTTTTCTTAGATGATACATAAATGCATATACATTAACTTATAGAGACAACTAATCCTCTTATATGTGAAATGAAATTTACTTTCACCAAGCTTATTCAGTAATCTCATCAGTTTTATGAGTCTTCTTAGGTTAATTTCAGGGCTGATATCCCTTTTGCCTCTTCCACTGCAAGTCCACCCACTTAAGGTACATATTTATTTTTGCAATCAAATCTCTTTAGTTGTTAATTCAATTACAATCTAATCAGTAGAATTCATCTAGTGAAAAAAATCTAAAAGGTAAATACATCAATGTCAAGCTCAGTCTATGTTAAATTTAAAAAGAAAAATTTTAGCATAACCATTTTTCATTGTTTGAACAATGTTCATTCCCTTTCACTATAAAACACAACCCCTAATAAGCCAGGGAGAGCACCCCATGTGTTTGTCACATTTTTTATTCATAAAGGAGGGATTGGAAAAGAATTCTTAAGCATGTTAACATACCCTTCCTATTACGTTTTAGTCCAGTGCAGACAATTTCTGTTTTGGATTGATTATGTTCTGTTCTGTTTTGGTTTTGGTTTAGAAGTGAAACAATAAATGAAATTTAAAGAGGTTAAAATTTTACACTGAATTTTCCCTTAATCTCATGGTTAACTCCAAAGTAAATGGTTTTCATAAAATGTGCCAGGCTTTTAAGCACAAGATGCCAGCTAGCATAATGAACATCATGTCTTCTGTGCCTTGTTGTCCTGCTTCTATCCTAGGTTAGACAAAATGCTTTCCGAACCCGACAGGAGCTTCTCTTAAAAGCACTCTTTCAGAAGTGGGACAGTGATGGTTCAGGCTTCCTGGATCTAGAGGAAGTTGATAAACTCTTATACACATACAAGGATGGAATGGAAAAAGAATCTATGAAGAAAGGTAAACTGTAAGAGTGTAGTATAATAACCAATGTTCATTTCCTATCATCTTGTTTTGAAAATTTGTATCATTTTTATTCTCTTTAAAATTAAAAAGAGGGGTGGAGGGGTTGCTCAGTAGAATAAGTGCTTGCCTGGCAAATGCAAGGACCTGAGTTCAATCCCTGGTTCTGCAAAAAAAATAAAAAAATTTTAAAAATTAAAAAGAAAGACAATGTTCCTATTTAAGTTGTGATAACAACTTGGCTTCAAGTATCCCACTGCTGTGACATAGATACAGTTAAAAAACAAACATTGATTATATTAAAACTATCAGATATCACTTTACACTAGTGGTACCACTTCATGCTAATAGTATGACCATAATTTTCAGACAGATCTCCCCCACCCCGCTAGCTCAGAATGCTTGAAGGGCAGCCTGGGAAGGCATGCAGATCTGGGAATCAAATCAGAGTATCCTGAGCCTGAGTGCCTTTGCATAAGCAGGCACTGAAACAAAACAACTGAGCTAATGGGCAGGCCCCTGACCATAGTTTTTAAAATGGAAAATAACAAGTGTTGGCAATGATGCAGAGAAATTAGAATTTTTGTACATTTGTCAGAGTATTTAGAACTGGAATATGTCCAATAACTTAATTCTACAAAAAATTCTTTTTGTGTAGTTGATTGCCCTCATTCTTAAGATTAAAAGAATCCAAACTATGCCATATTTCTGCTTAGTTTCTCTTCTTATTCTTTCACTCTGCCTTCACAAGATTTGAACTACCATTTAAGTCTGACTGGCTTGCAAATTTCTCTTCAATTTACTAGCTTCTTATTCTTTTATCCTCTTATACTATTTTCCTTCTGATCAAACCAACCAAAAGCTACTATAGCTCTCATTCCAATATAATAAATTCTTTCCTTCATTAGGCCTCAGAATAAATGATTTTGATCTTCGCTGGGCTTAAAAATTTATCTAGTGACTTCTGTATACCACATTTCTAGTATGTTAAGTATGTGGTGCATGGTTGAAAATTGTCAAGATTGGCTAAGTCCTTCAACTTTTTCAAAACATATTGGTTAATTGTCAAATAAAATTAGGCTTATCAATTGCTCTGTTCTCTTTAATAACTATGTCTTCTTCAAACTATATTATACTATACTGCTTGTCTAAGCCTGAATCCAAAGAAGATTTACTTAGCGAAAATTCAGAAGGCTTAATGATGTGATTTCCACTTATAAGATGGGAAAATTTCATAACATAGAACGATGTTCTACAGAAAATCCTATATGAAGATGAGGATGCCTGGCTTCCAATACTGAATCGTCACTAAATGGTCATGTGACCATTGGCCAGTTATTTAACCTCCGTAAACTCAGGTACCCCAGTTACTTAGCCTCCATAGACTCAGGTATTTAGATATGTTGAATTTTAAAATTTAAGGAACCTAAGGATGATGCTGGGAAGATCCATATATTGGATTATAGGGAATCCAACTATATGGAATTGTACAAAATATACTTTAAAAAATGGCAGGAGGAGGGCTCTGTTTCCTGGTGCCAAACTCCATGTGGTATGCACTTTGCCAAGGGCCTCCCAAGCTGCTTACACTGCATCACGTTTGGTTTCTACTGGCTGCAGGCTGCATGCAAAGGACCCAGGAGACTCTCAAACCATGAATGGTTAACATTTAGTTACTCTTTGACTCAGTAAGAGTCCCAAAATGGCAGAGCAGCAAGTGCCAGCAACTCATTTTCTCCAGGATGATGTATCTATTGTCTAGAAGACAATAGCTTGAAAGGAAATTTAAGTGAGTGAATGTTACCCAGGAACCATGAGGGAACTAACAGAAGAAAAGAAAATAGTATTAAGTGATACAGAAGAAGCAGATCACACCATGGAGGAGACACTTCTCAGCTCTGCTAGTAGTGGTTCTCTGGCCAGTAGCTGAGAGGCAAAGTGAAATTAACAATTTTTTTTCTTTTCTTTTCTTTTTTTTTTTTTTTTAGGGTATAGATTCTTTATGTGACAAGTCAAGTTCATTCAATATACATTCATTACAAACAAGCACATGAAAAATATGGAAACTATACATTAAAACAACTTAACTTTAAAAAAACAAAACTAAAAAACTACACTACCAAATTTGCCTAAGAATGTGGATGACAAACACTCATCTATCTTGCTGCTGGGGAATAAAAGATTCATATGGCTTCCTTTTTCTAATAAAACAGAAAGTATTAAAAGATAGTTATATTACTAGTTTCTCCTACTTCATTGCAAACAAATGTTTGTGCCAATATTTTAAAAATAATTTTATTGACAAACAAATAGCAATGAAGGGGCCGGAGAGATGGCTCAGTGGAATAAGCGCTTCCCTGGCAAGCGCAAGGGCCTGAGTTCAATCCCGGTTCCGCAAAAAAAAAAAAAAAAAAAAAAAAAAACCAGCAATGAGACAGTTTCAAAACCAATTACTAGGACAGTTTCAATAATTAATACATTGCATATTGTTGTCTTAGTGTTTATTCATTGTACAAGATGCAGACATGATATCCTGTTCACAAACACTATTAGATCAAATCTCTCTATTCAGTGATCCAAGAGAATGCAGCTGTGTATCTATCCTAACTATTTTGAACACACAAATACACAATGTTTGTCCATTTGTATACCCCTTTTTTGTTTAGTTTTGTCAGAAAAGGGTATTCCATTGTCATTTAAATATTGTAGGTGCTTGAATTCTGCAAAATATCCCAATGTAGTCCAGTAGTCCATAATGGTAGTGGGTTTTCCATAAGACTGGCAATGACAGTTGTTGACTTGGCCATGGAGATGGCTCAGTGGGATAAATGCTTGCCTGGCAAGCACAAAGGTCTGAGTTCAATCCCCGGTTCTGCCAAAAAAGAAGAAAAAGAAAGAAAGAAAAAAAAAAGTTGTTGACTTAAGCCTTTTACAGCTCAGCATATTAATATGGCTTTACTTTTTATACTTCATTTTTATACTTTTCTGCTGGATGGTTAAGACCAAGCAAGATAAAGCAAGACCTATATAACAAGTAATGTAACTTTTAACAACTTTTTTTTCCTCAGGAGAACTGTATTGGGACTGAAAGAATCATCAGTAGTTGGAACAAACAAGGAAGACATGGAACACAGTTTCCAGAACAGAGTTATATAGGATTGGAAGTTCACATTGGTGCCCTGTTCACACTGTATGCAGATCTCTATACCCAGCACCGTTCTGGGGACAGACTGCCACATTAGTCTTGTGGTGTGAACAGAGACCAATTCTGGCTTGAGCTCTGCTCCTTAACCCTAGGCTGTGGAAGAGAGCCACATGTGCAAACAACAGAAAACTTTCTTTCATTATTCTTTATTTGATTATATTATTTCCTATTTTTACTTTATTACTTTGTTTTCCTCCCAATATAGTTTATAAAGAGTAAGAGAATTCTGCCTTGTCCCTTTATATCCCTCCTACTTTTGTATGTATCTCTTCGTGTGACTTTTTTGTCCTGGTCTTATTCATCTTCAATTTTTTTCCCCTTTACATTTGTCCCACTTTAAATTTTCCTCTAATATATATATATATATATATATATATATGTCATAGAATCTTTTCCTATCCATATTTATCACTGTCAATTTTGTATCAAATTTTCCCTGTTATCTCCTTATAAATATATAACATACCTTATCATCATTAGGTTCTTTGTCCTCTCACCCATTTCTTCCTTCCCAAACCACAGAGCAAAATACCTAAAAACAAACAAACAAAAAATCATTTTTTTCCTTTTTCTCTTCTCTCCCCATCTGGCATTACTCAGTCTCCAATCCTGTGGGCTTTAGATAACTGATCAGAAAATTAGTGTTGAACGTTATTTTTCACCATTAAATAAGTGATAGACATTATATTTAGTACGCATTTACTATAGTCTGAAACTAGATACTTATATTCAAGATATTAGCAAATAAAAAAATGTAGCACATTATCAAAAGAATCATTCATCATGATCAAGTATGTTTCATCTCAGAAATGCAAGATTGTTTCAACATAGTCAATAAATGTAATACATTGCATGAAAAGAAGCTAGGTCAAAAACCATATGATCTTATCAATAGATGAAGAAAAGGCTTTCAATAAAATCCAACACCTCTTCATGATAAAAAAAAAACCTGAGTAAAACAGGTATAAAAGGACATACTTGACTATGATAAAAGCTATATGTGACAAACCAATATCCAGCATCATACTAAATGAGGAAAAACTAAAAACATTCCCCCCCTAAACAGAAACGACAAAGATATCTATACTAAATGGGGAAAAACTAAAAACATTTCCCCTAAAAGAGGAATAAGACAAGGATATCTATTCACCTCAGTAATGTAGCAGGACACAAGACTAACACACAGGGACCAGGGAGATAGCTCAGTGGTCTTAGCACCTGCCTGGCAAGGGCAAAGACCCAAGTTCAATCCCTGGTACTGCATGCTGTGCTAGGGAGGCTGAGACAGGAGGATCACTATAAGTCTAAGCTGCATAGTGAGACCCTGTACCATATACATAAAAAAGATCAAAATACAAAAATTATAAGCATTTGTGTATGCCAGTCATCACTGGGATGAGAAAAATTATGAAAATAATACCATTCCCAGTAGCTTCAAGAAAAATGAAATACTGAGGAATTAACCTAACCAAAGAAGTGAAAAACCTCTAAAAAGGAAACAGAAATAATCTGAAGAAAGAGATTGGAAGGGACATTAAAAAACGGAAGGGCTGGCCCGATAGCCCTGTGGGCTAAAGCACCTGTTTAGGCAGGCTTAGGGACCAGGGTTCAATTCCCAGAGTACTATGCTGGTCCTGCCCCTGGGGCACGCTGAGACCTCGACTGAGACTGGGCATGGTAGCAGGTGCCTGTAATCGCAACACTTGGGAGGCTGAAAATGCAAGGGGCACTATGAGTCCAATCTGCATAGTGAGACCCTGTAGACCCTGCACTAAATACATTAAAGAAAGGA